ATGTTGATCCTGAATGAGGGCTTGAGAGCCTGAATTCTATGAGGTGTTGCTGCCCAGAGCGTATTTATCCATTCTGTCCTTTGTTCATGCACCCATGCCCCCCTCATCAAACACAGGGGCCGGGTCTGGGCTGGGAGCAGCCAGGCTTTGGTGCTAGCCAGTCTTGGCTCTACCACTTCCCAGCTAGGCAACCTCCAGGCAAGTCTTAGGTAACCCTCGAACTTCCATTTCTTCATCCGTTGAATAGGGAGAATAATGCCCATCTCACACTGTTGTGCTGAGACTCAAATGAGATCCAGCACATAAAGCACTTAGTATAGAGCTGGCACACAGTAGGTGCTCAAATAACTGTTACTTGTTGCCTGCTGTTTGCCAGACACCATGCTTGGGCCAAGGGTAAATTCATGAAAGGCACAGTGCCTTGCCCCAGCAGCTCACTGATGCATGAATCACTGTACAATGGGAGAGGCCATCACAGGGCACTGGAGGAGGCCTCTAGACCCAGCCAGGGTCATCAGCAAGGACTGCATCCTGGAGCTGATGCCTGGCATTGGAGGGATAAGCTAACCAAGGTGTTCCTGGCTGGGAAACAGCATGAGCAGACAATATTCAAGGACTAGCAGTATTCCCCGGGTATTTATGCTGAAAAGGTGGGCTGTAGAGAGGGCAGTGCCTCCAATAACACTGAATCTCTGCCAGTGGGGCAATTCACACATCAGTTCAGGGAGGGGGCAGTTTGGGAACAGGACTTTGGGAGAAACCCTCAAATCATTCATGTGTGAGATCTTGAGGCTGGGAAGGAGGGACTTTGGGACTGTGATGGGATGGGAGGGCCCCTTGGCCAGGAAGGGGGCCCACCTGGGTTTGTGCCTGCTGTGACCTGGTTTCTCCTAGATGGAGCTGGAGGAGACAGAACCACCCATGGAGCCTGAGGAGCCTCCATCTGATGCCGAGTTTGAGGGGGAGGATGACTATGAGGAGAGCATCTATGCTGACTGGTGGCAGGAGCCGGATGCCAAGGGTGATGAGGCTGAGGCTGGTCAGTGACTTGATCCTGGTGGAGGGGTGGGGATGCAGCCTGGGATGGAGTTTGGAGACAGCAGGATCCATGCCCCAGGCTGGAGAGGCTGTGGAGTAGGTGTAATGGGTGTTGGCACATCTCCTCCAGGGACTTCTAGCCTGTTAGCAATGCCCTTCCCCCTTGGTGGAGGGTGGTGGCATCTTTCCTGGAGCAGGGACCAACTAAGACCTGTTTTTGGGGAGCCTCACTGCTCCCTGCCCCACCTCCCCTGAGGACAGCACCCAGGCACCTGTTGGGAATGGGGTGGGGGGCTAATCCCAATGTGCTCCCCTTTCATTTTCAGAGCCAGAGCCTGAACTAGCATGAGAAGAGGGCCCCCCTGCACCCCTCAAGAACTTGGGAAGCCTGGCCCAGTGACACCACCCTCACCAGCCTGGACAGCAACAAGAACTATTTATTAAACATGTAAAATGGACATAGCTGACCAGACAGGCAATAAACAATGTTATAAATAAGTTATCTGGCTATGATAGATAAGTGAGATGGGAAAATAGAGCAGGGTGAGAAGACCAGGAGAGCTGGTGCAGTTTAAGAAGTGTGTTGATACGTGTGTCCCAGTGTGCATCTGACAGTGGCATCTGAAAGTGGCATCTGAATGTGGCATCTGAATGTGAGGGTGTGAGTCAGGGGTGTCCCCTTGGAGCAGGAGGCTGCCCCTCTCTAGGCACTCACCTCCATCCCGCCGCCGTTAGGCCAGGCCCTCCCTGTCCAGCATCCCATACTCAGCTCCCCCATCCCCGGCAGCCGCCAGCCCCTCCCACCTCTCCCTGATGCCAGCGTCTCCCCATTGCACAGCCAGCATCTCCCCATTGCCCGGCCAGATCCCCAAACCCATAAGACTGTGTTCCAGTGAGTCCTAGCATGGGCCCTCTGGGGCCCTCCAGCCCATTCTCCCAACCCCACCCAGCCCAGATGCCCTCGCCTCCTCCACATCTGCCTCATTCTGCCGTCTCCTTACCCCACCCGAACTCCCCCACCCAGCACCTCAGCAGTCCTACCATCTGTAGCATAATGAGTAGATTAGGGACAGCCAAAAGGGCACTGGGGATAACGGCCTAACACAAGAGGCCCAGACTCAGATGCCATAGAGGTGTCCTGGACCCAGAAAGACCTCATCCTGAGGAAAGCATCACTGCTGCAATGTATTGAATACCTACCATGTGCCGGGCCCTCGACAGGTTCTTTATAACCTCAAAACAGTCTTGCAACCTAGGTATCAATTCCCTTCTGCAACAGGTGAGGCTGATGAATGAGAAGCAACCTGTCCAAGTTTCCTCAAGGGGGTTCCTGAGGTGGGTTTGAAACTTGTTTTCCTAAATCAGTGCTGCTCAGAGAAGGGAGAGAAAGCACAGAACTCCTTGGTCTCCTCTCTCCAGTCTCCGGAGTTGGCTTTGTCCCTTTAGGATGTCAGGTGGGGCCTTGGGGGAGGAAGGGGAGGAAGGTGAGGGCCAAATGTGGAGACAAAGCTCCTACATTGCCACAGCTCACCGAGGGAGGCAGAGGGTTCCAGAAGGGAGACAGGGAAGGAGGGAGGAGGAGAGAGGAAAGGAGAAAAGGAGAAAGGGGAGGAAGAGCAAGCAGTCAAGACTCACTCTCAGGCCTCATTCCACAGCTTGGTCCCACCTCCCCTTGTCAGCTTCCTGGGGCTGGACCAGGTGTTAGAGGGCCTGGGGACAGACTTGCTGGGGTCATTTAGACCAGCCTCTTCTTGAATCCTGAGGAGTGATGGCCAAAGGGAGAATCCCATGGGATCACCCAAAATTCCAGTAAATTCCAATGGAAGAAATTCCCCCTGAGATTTGAGAAATAGTTCTTGAAGTCTCACCCTAGCATTCCCCTTCTCTGGGAGAGTAGGGTTCCCCTAGAGACAAAGAGTAACCCCCTCCTGTGTCAGAAGGGCCAACCTTCTGACAAGTTGGCACTAGGGCCAACCTCATAACCTTACTTCAGGGGGTGGTGTCCTGGCAGCTGCAGGGCCCAAGGCTCACGCAGCTTCCCCACTCAGGGGCCTCCATCCAGGCCTTCTTTTCCAACT